GCTGGGCCACTCTCACCATTTTTATTCAACATAGTATGAAGGTTTAGCCAGAGCAGTAATGCAAGAAAAAGAAGTAAAAGGCTTCCAGATTGGAAAGGAAGAGTTTAAATTATGTTTTCATCTATACAGAGCATCCAATGCAATCCACACAAAAAATCTACTAGAAATAACAAGCCAATTTAGCAATGTTGTGATATGCATGATCAATATACAAAAATAATCATATGTTATATAACAAGGGAAACAATGAAACTAAAATTTAAAAACATTTAAATAGCATCAAAAAGTATGAAATGTTTAGAGATACATTTGACAAAAGTTATGGAAAGGTTGTATACTGAAAACTATAAAACACTAATGAGAAAAATTAAAGAGGACCTAAAAAAAATGGCAATATCTACTGTGTTCATAGTTCAGAAGACTAGTTATCAATTCTCCCCATAATGACCTACAGATCCATCACAATCTCAACCAAAATCCCATGAGGCTTTTTGTAGAAAATGACAAGCCAATTATAATAGTTTTATGGAAATGCTGAAGATCTACAGTAGCCAAAGCAACTTTGAAAAGAAAACATTATCAGTCTTAACACTACCTGATTTCAAGCAACAGTATAAAATCAGTAAGGTAGTAGCTTAAAGCCAGATAAATGGAGCAATGGAACAAAAAACAATGTCCAGAAGTATACCTGCACCTACTGGACAATTGATTTTTGACAGAGATGCAAAAGCAACGAAGTAGAAAAAGTACGCTCTTTTCAACAAAGTGTTGTAGAACAACTGAATGTCCATATGCAAAAACCATGAACCTTAAATGATCTCTCACACCACATACAAAAATTAACTCAAAATCAATCATACAGCAAAATGCAAGAACTAAAAATATAAACTTTATAAATATGAGGCAAAAACTAATAGGACTGAAAGGAGAAACAGTTGGAGGCTTCAGCATCTTCTAAATAACAGACAGATTAAGTAGGCAGAAAATCAGTTAAGAATTTAGATGACCTGAACAGCACTTCAATCAATTTGTTCTAATCAAAATATATAGAACACTCCATCTAACAACAGAAGTACACATGGACCATTCACCAAAATAGACCATATTCTGGTACATAAAACACATCTTAACAAATGTAAAAGAACAAATAGAAACCATACAAAGTATGTTCTTAGAGCATACAAGAATAAAACTAGAAATCAGTAATAGAAAGATGGCTGGACAATTCAAAATGTTTGGAAATTAAACAATATACTTCTAAATGACAAATGGGTTAAGAAGTCTCAAGAGAAACTTAAACATTTGGAACTAAATAAAAATGAAAATACATTGTCTTTCATAACAATGTTAATGTACTTAAAACCACTGGATAGTACACTTAAAAATAATCAAGATGGTAAATTTTATGTTATATAGTATTATACTACAATTAAAAATATTTTAAAAATACAACATCAAAATTTATGAGATGCAGCTAAAATAGTGCTTAGAGAAAATTTTATAGTATTAAATGCATATTTTAGAACAAAAGAAATATCTAAAATCAATAACCAGCTTAAGAAACTAGATAAAGAAAACAAATTAAACCTAAAGTAAGTAGAAGGAAAGAAATGATAAATCTCTAGCCAAACTAACCAAAAAAAAGGACACAAATTACTCATATCATTATTACTAATCCAACAGATATCAAAAAGATAGTAAGGGAATACTACAAACAGGTCTGTGCCCATAAATTAGATAATTTAGACTAAATGGACCAATCCTTGAAGGGTACAAACTACCAAAACTCATTCAAGGAGATATAGATAATATAAAATAGATCTATATCTAAAAAAAGAAATTAAATTAGTAGAAAATCTTCCCAAAAAAGAAAACACTAGGCTCAGATGGTTTCACTTGTGAATTTTACCAAACACTTAAGGAAGAAATAATACCACTTTTACAAACCCTTCTAGAAAATAGAAGAAGAGAGATCACCTCCCAACTCATTTTATAAGGCCAGCATTTACCTATTCCGAAACTAGATAAATATGTTACAAAAAAGAAAACTATAAACCAGTATCTTTCATGAATTTAGATGTAAACATTAGCAAACTGACTCCAGCAACATAGAAAAAGAGTAATACATCATGATTGTGTGGGGTTCATTCCAACAATGCAAGGCTGATTCAACTTTTGTAAATCAATTAATGTAATTCATCATATGAACAAATTGAACAAAAAAAAGTCATTTGATGACATTAATATATGCAGCAGAAACAAAGTTCAACATCCATTCATGATAAAAACTCTCAAAATACTAAGAATAGAAAGGAACTTCCTCAACCTAATAAGGACTATTTTAAAAAATCACAGGTACTATCATTCTCAAGAGTGAGATGTTAAGTTTTTCCCTAAGATCAGAAATGAGGCAAGGATGTCCTCTCTCACCACTTTAAATCAACTTCATACTAAAAGTGCTGGCTAGTGTAATCGGACAAGGAAATGAAAGGTACACAAATTGGAAAAGAAGAAATAAAACTGTCTTTACTCACAGATAACATAATTGTTTATTCAGAAAACCCCAAAGAATTGACCAAATAACTCTTGTACATAAATGACTTAAGCAGTGTTGAAAGGTACATAGTCAATTTACAAAACTCAACTGCTTTCCTATATTAATTTCCAAGCAAAGATACTTGGAATTTGAATTTAAAAATAATACGTTTATAATAGCATCCGCTAAAATGAAGTATAAACCTAACAAAATATTTACAGGATCTGTTTATAGAACACTAGAAATCACTGATGAAAAAAAATCAAATGGAGTTTCCTCAAAAAATTTAAAATGAAACTGCCTTTTGACCCTGTAATCCCATTTTGGGAATATATCCTAAGAATCCTGAAACACCAACCAGAAAGAATATTTGCACCCCTATGTTTATAGCAGCATTATTTACAATAGCCAAGATTTGGAAAGAACCCAAGTGCCTATCAGCAGATGAGTGGATAAAAAAAACTGTGGTACATTTACACAAATGGAATACTATGTGGCTATAAAAAAGGAGGAACTTCTTTGAGACAGCATCAATGTACCTGGAGAGTATTATGCTAAGTGAAACAAGCCAATTAGAGAAAGACAAAAAACGTATTAAATTCTCACTAATATGTGGAACCTAATGAAAAAAATAAACTGATGAACAAAACAGACCAGAAGCATGGATATGTGGAACAGACCAGCTGGTGCCTGAGGGGAGAGGGTGGGGGTGACTGATAAAGAAGGTGATGGGATTAGCTAAAGAACATATATGCAGATTCCATGGACATGGACAACAGTTTGGTGAAGGCCAAGGGAGGGGGATGTGGGGATGGGTGGAAATAGGCAAAAGGGGGGAAGAAGGTGGACACCTGCAATAATGCCAACATTAAAAACAGCCCAAGTGCCCATCAGTAGATGAGTGTATAAAAAAGCTGTGGGACATATACACCATGGAATACTACGCAGCTGTAAAGAAGAAGAATCTCGTACCCTTTGGGACAGTATGGATGGACCTGGAGAAAATTATGCTAAGTGAAATAAGGCAGGCAGAGAAAGACAAACAACACATGAGCTCGCTTATACATGGAATCTAAAGAACTTAATAAACTAATGAACAAAATAGATTCAATGACATGGAAGCATAGATCAGACTGACGAATGTCAGAGGGATGGAGGAGGGCGGGTGGGTGGAGGTGGAAAGAGTAACCAAAGAATTTATATGCAGATATGCACAACCCAAGGACACGAACAATGGTGGGGAGAGGGACTGGGGAGGGGGAAGGGACGGGGTGGAATGGGTCATTGGGGAGAAAAAGGGACATCTGTAATATTTTAAACAAAAATAAAATTTAAAAATTAAAAAAAAATTAATAAAAAAATAAAATCTAAATTTAAATGGAGAGATATGTGTTGCTGCGTTGGAAGAGTCAACCTACTAAAGATGTCAATTCTCCCAAAACTGAGCTAAAGGCTTACTGCAATTCCTATAGAAATCCCTGCCAGGTTTTTGTAGACCTACATAAGCATTATTCTAAAATTTATATGAAAAGGCAAAGGTACTAGAATAGCCACTTCAATTTTGAAAAAGACAAAGTTGGAGGACTCATATTACCTGATTTCAACACTTACTATAAAGCTACAATAATGAACACAGAGGGGGAAAAAATACACTCATCAATCATGGAACAGATAGCTTGGGAAGAGACCCACAAAAATACAGCCAATTTTTGACATAGGTACAAAGACAATTCAACGGAAAGAGTACAGTCTTTTCAACAAATGAAACTACACTTTCAAAGTCCATAAGCAACCACTCACACTTAACACAAAAATCAATTCAAAATGGATCATAAACCTAAATGTAAAATGCAGAAACTATAAAATTTTAAAAGAAAACATAAGGGAAAATCTGAATGACTTTGGGTTTGGTGGTGAGTTTTAAAGTACAATAACAAAAGCAAAATTCATGAAAGAAAAAATTTTAAGCTGGACTTCATTAAAAACTTTTTTCTGTGAAACACTGTTAAGAGAATGAAAACATAGACTGGGAGAAAATATCTGCAAATCACATACCTGATAAAATATATGTATCCAGCATATACAAAGACATTTTAAGCCTGAACAGTAAAAAACAAACAAAAAAAACCCAATTTTTAAAAATGTGCAAAATGAGAAAGGGAGAGAATGAGGGGTGGGGTGAAAGCAAAAGCAAGCGCAAAGACTAACAGGAAGGACATATTTCTGGAAAGAGAGAAAATGATTTGGCATTCCCAAGTAGGCTATTACTCCTTTTTCTGTTTATATACTGGTAAATTATAGATATTAGATATCCATCTATTGTATTTTAATTTAAGAAAGAATGAAAAGGTCACCAGTGTTTGTAAAAGTGTGGTTGCTGTAGTTTTATTTTTCTTGTAGAAAAGAAATTGGTATTGATTTGAATACTTCTGAGTAAGAAATTCCTGAAAAAATTATAGCATACCTGGGTTTGATTCCAGCCAAGGGCATGTACCTCGGTTACAGGCTTGATTCCTGGCCCAGGTCAGGGCTCATGCAGGAAGCAACCAGTCGATGTGTCTCACATTAATGTTTTCCTCTGTCTCTGTCTCTGTCTCTGCTCTCTGAAAAGCAATGGAAAAAAAAAAAA